TGTTTCTTTCTTCTCGTATTCGTTAGTTTGAAAGGAGACGCAGGTACGCACCTCCTGCAGAATAAATTTTCCAGTCGAGTAAGCCTCAATTTGAAAGCTTATCGCAAGTTTCAGTCGACCGATGTACAATGGCAGGATCCTCCCGGGAGGAAGAACATTTGCTGATCGTCCCCTGGCAGCTAAGTGTCCTTTATCATCAGAATATGGTCCCGTTTTATTCTTTACACTATTGTAAAAACTATGAAGCAGACAAAATAAGTCATCTATCATTTCTCTTCATGCGACGAGTCACGAGGAAAGCAAGAAGACGCGATGGCACATGTATATAGCAATAGAACAGGCGAGAAAAAACGTTCTACAGAGAAAGTGAAAAATTAAAATTTAATTTAAAAATAGGGTCTCAAAAATTGAAAAGTTCTTGGCCGCGTTATCACAAGTTTCCTGGATGCCCTAAACACTAGTTATATAACTGATGCATGCATAGTTATAAAAGTCAATAGATATATTGGTAGCTTTTACCGTTTGGTCCGGTAATCCTGAAATGTCAAAGTTTCCCTTCGTGAGCCGTTGTAGAATTTGATACTTGTCTTTCTTGCGTGTAACTAACGAAAACGAATGAAGTATTCTACGAGTAAGACGGTTAGGGATAACATAACAGTAGAATAACTGTGGGACAGTGAGAATATCACACCTTTGATCAGTAATAAACCAGTTGAATTTTAAATTTTATTTATAATATTTATGTTGCCAATAAATGGTAAAATATTTCGAGCTTTTTCTATGTCATTTTCTTTACATAAATGATACAATAAACCAATGACATTTGAATCATTGTCATCATTATTCGATGATAATGGTGATAACATTACGATGAGAACGAAGAACGGAATTTTGGATAAATATGAATATACGTTTGACATGCTGCGTGTACTAACTATAAAGGAACAACGAGAACAATATTTTTCTTTTTCCACTTCTTTTAAATCCAAAACTTTATAATGGCGCTAAGAATTTCACGATACTTATAAAAGGAAATATCGGTCATTCCATGTAAGCCACGACCAATCCGGGGAGAGGTGCTCAATTGATATTTCCGATTTGGTCCATTTTAACATATGTTATTGGGACAGAATTTAGATGATTTTTGACACAGACCGGTTCAAAATATATTGAATCCTTGATTTTATATTGACTCTTCTTTATAATTATTATTATTTGCGCACTTCTGTATTATAAAGAGATGTGCAATAAAAAGGTAAGGTAGGTATATCCAAACGTAAATAACTTCTTCTCTCTGAATGAAGGAAGCATTTTATCAATCATTCCACGTAAGCCACGATCTAACGTGTTCAATTGATATCTTCGTTTTGGCCCATTTTAACATATATTATTGAGATCGAATTTAGATGATTTTTGACACAAGCCGATTTAAAATATCCTTGCCCAATTTCACGCTATTATCAACCATCAGAGGCACTTTTGCGAGCATGATAGGTCGAGAAGGCTTCAACCGCTTGAGATGACTTTTTTTTCCATCCAGTCAACCTTCGGCTCAGCCTACAAAACAATTTTCAGATCAAACAATTGAGTCCATGATTTACGGTGATGGTGAATTCAGAGGGTAGGACCATTTTGGTCTAATTTGCAACACTATATTTCTGGACTCATTATATTCAGTCACTTTTTGAAGGACAACACTATGGTCGTGCTCATTGGATTAAACAACATACTTTCTTTGTTTTGCTAAAAACAGGTATAGGCAGATGAATTATTAGTGACACCATGTATAACCGACTTTCTTCCTCTGAATCTTTGTTTGCTTTTGATTAATTAGTGAAAGCGTGTAATCGAGCTAATGGTTTCGTCCTCATTGGTGTGAAAATGAGCTTGTAGATTGATAAAATATTGGAAATTCTATCACTGTCAAAAGCTGGCTCATTAAATCGATTACAGTAAAATCTCTTATTGTGAACACGCAAGAGGCTTGTCAGCAGTGTTTAAATTGATTTTATATAGAGATCACAGATATTATGAGGTATATTTTCTTCAACATTTCTTTCCCACAAATTCCTCGTTCGAAACAAAAATCATTTCCTATTTCGATGTCATATTGGACAACAAATATTTCAGATCAAGTAAGACGTTTCCCGGCTCTAGGTGCGCTGTCTGGAAAGAATTATGATAGATCTACATCAGCGCTATCATATCTATATGACTGTATGATTTACAAAATCTTTTATCAAAAACCAAAGACTTGGTTTTCTAGGCTTCAGATTTTCCAGAAACCCGGTTATCAATGTCTTTTGTAAAATTTCAATGTACACCTTATCTGATTGAAAAATCTTCGGGCTACTCAAATCAGTATTTAGACTTGATCCAACTATTATTTGAAAAGAGAAAAATCAAAAACAAAGGGGGGCCTATAATTTTGATATACCCTGTGTTTAATAATATCGTGCTGTTTTGCTGGATCTTGAGGAAATGCATTCATAATTTTTTAACAGTTTTGGAAGTTTGTTTCGTTTATACGCTGATGTGGGTTTACTGATGTTTGTTTATGTTTTTCGATTACGATTAGTTTGTTGATATTGTTTATACAAATATCATAATAATATCTTTTTTCTTATGATTCAAATTTCTTCGATAGTTTTGTTTCCTAAAATGATTTTTCTTTTCAAATGCAAGATTAAGATTATTTGAGATTACCCCGAAATTTTCTGTGCCTATCCATGGTGGGCATCCAGGCGCATATTGAGCGAAAAATCAAAATTGCGTTTTTTTACAATTAAAATAGTGGCAAATATACTTTGGTAGTTGGGTTCAGCGTTTTTGATTCAAGTTTTACCAGATGGGAGAAGTTCCAGGGAGTAAATCAGAATTTTTTATTGAGTAACTCAAAATCTTTTATGGAGTAACTGATCGAAACAAGATGGAAAAATGCCACCACCTAATCGAAAACGGTGGGTGGGTTATCTAATGGCGTAAACATTTTTGTTTCAAACGAGGAATTTGTGGGAAAGAAATGTTGAAGAAAGACAGATATCGATTATTTCGGAGATTGTTAACAAAATCAAAAGTACCTTGCATAGTACTGGAGCTCCTTGATAAAACCGATAGGTTACTAACTAATCCCTTCCCTAAGTCATAGTTGAAAGTGCCTATTACAGCAAAACAGGTCTCAATGGTACCTCTCATGATATGAATCTTCGGTAATCCATATATGGATTACATAGAGCCTGAATTAGAACCTACTGGTCTTGGCCTATTATACCTGGATTCACTGTACGAGAAGTAATCAGAACAGAGATGAAGAAGTGAGCAGACGCTCACTAACCCTAGAAGAAAAACAAGCACTGAGTGCATGAAGGAGATTTCTATATACATCAGCCGTATACGTTAGCATCTATTAAGATGGCTAATTGTTCTCAATTATGATGACGCCACACATACACACACACACACACACAAATATGTATATTTAATTAAAGAAGATTATACTATAAAATTACTTTTCCTCCAAGTTGCTAAATTTCCAGATGTTTTCAATACAGACAGACAAGGACTTTTTAATGAACGGAATTAGGGCTAAAGAGAGAATCGTTGCCATCTCAACATCTTTAAATCATCTTCCCAAGCAAACAGAATATTTTGGATCGAGCTTGAACCTAGATCCCAAAAAAATCTCTTTTGCTAGTGTTTCTAAGTCTTTACTTATAACAACATTTTGTGACAATCCAACCGGAGGATACGGTTCTTTTACTGTCCACCTGCACAAAAAAAGAAAATATAAATACTACACAAGAAGAGAAGAGATAAAATAATAGAAGAACGAAAAAATATTATTATAATAGAATGTGATGGATATCTTGTACATTCATACAAAATCCCTAACTGAAGGACAGGCAAAGAATATGATAAGGTATGAAGAAAAAAGGTTTGTGTTATTTTGTGATGTATTGATAAACAAATATATGTTTAAGTCTGTATATATTTTCCACACACCTGAATATATATTTGTCTATCGATATACCATGTGAAAAATGATTTGTACTACTGTATAATCCAGGTAGAGTATAAACCATTTTTCACATACATAGTAAAAAGTTCCATGTTAAGGGTACCGGTCCCCTCATTTTGGGCTTTCTGTAGAAATGCTGTGAAATAAAAACTAAAACTCACTAAGTATTTTCACTCATATTTTCAGAACTGATTGGAAACTCAATGGAGTACTTTTCGTTTTTGTTTCAACTTTCTAACTATTGCCGTTCACCAGTTCTTTAGAAAACTCGGTTTTTCATTGGACCATATTATGCCCAGCCTTAAATTTTATCCGATCGAGTTAAAAACTTTATCAGAAGTACTCAAGGTCATAGTGCAGAGGTAAAAATTTGGAATTTTAAATTAGAATTTTCTTTATCGAGTTACAGGGTTTCTAAAATTGAAAAACTTGCTTTTTGAAAGTTTTTCGGTATTTTTCCTATCTCTCAGTAAAGAAAGGTCTAAAAGAAAATTCTAAAGTTATACCTCTTCGCTGCGACTTTGAGTACTTCTGGTAAAGTTTTTAACTCGATTGGATGAAATTTAAGGGGGGGGGGGGGGGCATATGGGGTGCCCGGCCCAACCCGGGTTTTGGGGAAACAGGGTGCCGGCCATTTGTTAAACGGTGGAAACAAAACGCAAAAGGGG